ATGAGACTATAAGGCAAAAAGAAAGTGCAGCTTTATGGTTTCATGGACAAAAGAATTTCTGTGGCTGCAATATGACGAGCTAAATAACCAGGGCTGCACATAAGTGGTCCGCAGGTGCGCATTCGCTGTCAAAATAAAAAACGCGCACAAGGGTTAGGGTTAAATTTAAAAACTGTACTTTTGAGTTAAAATATATATTTATAATTTTAATAAATGACAAATTAAAAAGGCATGAACATTTTTTTGTATCGAAAAAATATCGAACCGTGACACCAAAGTATCGAACCGAACCGAACCGTGAATTTTGTGTATCGTTGCACCCCTAATATTTAATTGCTATATTTTATTTTACAATAAAATAAGGAAACCAGCATTTAAGTTGAGCCTGACGTGACTTGGTATAAGCAGAATACCCCAAGCCAAGATATGCACAAGGTATACAATAAATTAGCATGAATTCAACTAGTTGCACAGCAGTGTATCAGAGTTCATGCACTAATGCCTGGGAGTTGTTAATATAATTCCCTGTAGAGATTTTTTTTACTTGAGTGCTGCCCATTGTGGCACAGTAGCAGTCAGTGCTCAATGATGAAAATAGGTCTCAGAGCCCTAAAGTGTCCCAGCATATCTGTGCCCCGGTGTAACACACTGAGAGAACACTTAACATTGCGTCTACAACAAAATTTTATTGTTGACGCAATGTTAAGTGTAAGGTAATTACAATACGTAATTACCTCGATCAAAGAGCAGGGCTCTAGACTAACTTTTTGCCATGGGCGTACCGGTATGCCTAACTTTTTAAACACAAATTTTATAATAATTTATATAATATAATGTGTTTTTCTGGATACACTGTGCTTTTTCAGCATTCAAAGATTGATGACACCGTGTCAGAGCACTGGCTATGAATTTCAGAAGGATCAGGCCTTAACTTAACAGAAAAGTTAGCAATAGTTCTTTTCCTATTACAGCTACATCCACCTCTGTCGTGCCTAGGCTGCTCACTAGGGCTGGGTATCATCACTGATTTCTATAATCCATTCGATTCTGGTTTTCAAAGTCCCGATTCGATTCAACTTAGCCTCAGTCAGAAATATTATAATTCTGATCATTTATCAGTACTGACTTCATCAGAATTTTGAACATCACAGCAGGTGCCTTTGTGTGAAAGTAACTGAGAATAAAACACAGAAAAACATGAAGGAGATTTTCCTGGTCTGGCTTTTTATAGCAGATAACCTTAAAAATATTCTACAATGTTCTGCATATAAAGTTTAAATTTCTTCAGTATTGAACAACAGAAAAAATAGGCTTTCTTGTCCGAGGTCATTTAAGTGAAAAAAAGAAAAGAAAAAGACAGCAGCCGACAGCGCTGTAAACAACGGTAGACTGGTGGGTAATAAGCGAATGAATAATACAGAAAACAGAGATTGGAGACGGGAAACTGTTCTTGAAGTATAGAGAGAGAGCTAGCTGTGCATGGAGTGTGATTTTAATAGTCGTGGAAGCAAAACAGCAAAATTCATGACGACATTGATCAAATGTGAAGCGCAGTTTGCTGCTTCTTTTGCTGCTGGCTCGGCGAATTTTGGTTGGAGAGAGACAAAACCTGCAGCTCAGAATCAGCGCAAAAAGACGTAATCACAGCGGACCCGACGCAGAATCGCCGAGCTCCGACAGCGTGTCCGTCTACGGGCCGCCCGAGAAAGACAAAGTTGATTCTGATGCGTCGGTCCGCTCTGTGTTTACGTCTTTGTGTGGAGTCCGTGTACCTGCTCTCATTTGCTGTTTGGTTGTTGTTGAAATGGTTTTGTGAGCTTTAATCTGAGAATCTGGCGTTTCTGGCCAAACACAGTTATATTTAAAAGTCGATTCAGGATTTAACGAATTGATATCGCTTTATTCAAGCTACTCACCTCCCACTTCCACCTGCACTTTCAACTGGACCACGGCCAATCAGAGAGGTCCCGCCCCTTACTATCTCTGATTGGTTTAGTCCACGATAGGGGCATAATGTGTGTCTGTTGTTGACCAAAGGGAAGGTTGCAGATTTTTTTTTTGCTACCCGAACAGTTGGTCGCACAGGTGCAACCAAATTTTTTTTTTTTTAGTCGCACCACTGAAAAATTTGGTCGCAAATGCGACCAAATTGGTCGCACTCTAGAGCCCTGAAGAGGTTATGTTTGTGGTACTGTTTGTTTGATTTCAGAAGCAGAATCAGTTTCAAGTTTGGTATGTAGTAGAGTTGGGCATTTCAAGCAAAAGTAGTAGTCAACATTTACTGGGAACTATGCAATGGTTCTTTGAAGATCACCCACCATGCTAAACTGCTCTTAAATGATTGTGATCTGTCATGGTACTTGGTAAATGACTCATAAATAGATCCTTATTGCTTGTCTGAACAAAATGTATCCATGTCAACGTTTTCCCCCCACCCAAATAAACCCAAAAGGCCAGCACTGAGCTTGAAAAATTCTCTTAGTGACCATACCAGAGCCTTGCATGCTATGCATGTTTGATGATGCTCTGCTACATGCGCTGCAGGCAGTGTTGCTCGGGTGGTGGAGACTCAGTGCAATAGTAAATCAAGTTTGAGGTACTCGGAGGAAGAAAGAGGTGATGTAACAAGCTTTTAAAAGTCAATACCTTTACTTGTAAACTAATAGAGCGTCTCCATTCTCCTGCTAGTGAATCATTTTAAACCACAGTATGCTCCCTTGGTCTTAGACTTTCATCTCCATTTCCTTAAAATGTGGTTTTTAGCATGATTTAATTGTAAAACCATCCCCATCCCTCTCACTAGCTGTAGGTGCTTCACAGTTAATTGTGTTAAGTTCACACAGTAAGATTCAATTATCTGCAATCAGTGTTACTTGAAGTACTGTTTCAGCTGTTGAGTGCTTGGAAATCTGTTTTTATAGTAAATATTCAAATAGTTTTCTATTCAGGTGTGTGTGTGTGTGTGTGTGTGTGTGTGTGTTCCCTGCTTCTTGTCAGTGGCGTACTGGGAAGCCCACTGGCCCCCGTGTGTCACCATGAATAACACATTCACAAAGATTTATGGATATTACCGTATCACATTACAGTAAAACTGCAAGACACCACATGAAAATAATGTAGAATAACAATTTTTCTGACACTGAGATGGTATATCTAATGTCCAGCTGTAATTACAGCTCCTGCTGAACTTAAGCACTATTAATAGACTTTATTGAAACCAGATCAGGCTGAAAGGAGTTCAGTTTGATGTCAGATATTTGAACTAGTTAATGTGCTTACAGATTGTCTTTGGTAGTAATTAATGTGTGTGTGTGTGTGTGTGTGTGTGTGTGTGTGTGTGTGTGTGTGCTTTTTCATTATTAATCTGTGAATATAGTCGTACTTCCAGCAGTGCAGATCAAAAATCCACCCTAAACACATTTACTACTCAAAATTGGGTCAATTCTGATTTAACTACAGGAGAAGTGTCCAGTAGCTAAAATTATAAGTGCCCAGTCAGCAACATGACAGCTCTTTTAATTAAGTTCCCTAAAATATTTTGGAAACCCCACAAACGCGTCCAGCTCAGCTCTAATTCCAGCTTTAAAAAAACCCAACTCATCCCCCTCCAAACCTTGTAGCGCAAATGATTCTGTCTCGAGGTAAAACACCTGTTGGTCTTGAATAACAAGCAATTTTTGCCTTATATGCATTGCTGATCCTATGACATCTCAGCAGTTGACTGGATTTGTACTTTAATGGATGAATAATTAGCTTAACTGACTGGTATTTCTGTTGCTGATTAGCAAGGGCAGCAACAAATAAACATCCAGTTTAACTAATCGCACGCATATCCAGTGCTTACATGTTTCACCCTGTAAGTGCTCCTGTTTTAGATGACAGTGACTGCATTTTAATACAATTAAGAACATGGATATGTGATGGCTTTGTTTTTCTACTTAGCTGATATAACTAGACTAAATAACATGTAAACCTGGTTCTTAGAAAAAGTGTGTGTGTGTGTGTGTGTGTGTGTGTGTGTGTGTGTGTGTGTGTGTGTGTGTGTGTGTGTGTGAGTGATGCAGTCTGTTTACACTGCCGTCCAGTGTAATGAGGGAAACCCAATGCAAATTAGTCTTCCCGCAGGGATTTCAAGTCATAAACACACACAAACAGTTTTCCGCCATCTGTTTAGCAAAGACTGTGTTTATCTGTTATGTGCTCAAATGCACATGAATTTTTTTGTTGTTTAATGTAACTGGGTCATGATGATCTCATGACAGATTAGACTAATGCAGATAAACTTTGATCTCAGCATAACAGAGAGACACACACAGACACACGTTGTTTCCCAAGTGCCTTCCTTTCTCTGAGCATTGCTCATTAGCAAAAATCAATCTGCTGCTCTCTGTGAGTGCCTAGCAGTAGTGTATATACACTCACTAATAAGAACCCATAGGACCCACACGTGCACACACATTCTCTCTCATATGCACACTTTCTCTGATATACCAGCTTGTGAGATGAGAGGGAACCTGGCTGAGCTGCCGTCCCCTGCCAATGATAGAGTGAGGTAGAAATGTATAGGGGTAGGGCAAGAGACCGTGTGTGTAGTAGTGCTCAGCACATTTTTATTTCCTTATATGGTTGTAAAGCAAGCAAGAGAGGGAGGGGCTGTCAGCTGGCTGTCAGTTTGACATGTGACCTGGAAACAGGAAGTGCTGTGGTATAGCAGAAGAAGAGAAGTATAGGAGGTTAAAAAAAAAAGACTGTTCGATGCTGCTCAGATATTCTGGAGACTGAAATGTCAGAAAAACCTCACTCCACCCTCCAAACCAGTGAGACAGTCATGTTACACCCTCTGTTGGTGGCACTGTGTACACATGTTTACACTGTGAATTTGAGCTAAATATGAATGTCACATTTTAGCCCCTATTTAAAATGCAGGCAACACGCTGATATTTCTGCTGTTTATATCAGACCACTGACATGTAACCTCTGCCTTCTATCTTTGGTTTTAGGTGCGCATAGCGGCTAACTTTGTCATCCACGCCCCACCAGGAGAATTTAATGAAGTTTTCAATGGTGAGCTTTCTGTTCTTGTTCCTCTGTATATTCTTTCATAAGATTAACAATGATTACATTGCTCAGAACTTGTAGTTTAATGCAATGTATGAGTCTGCAATCACCAAACATAAATACATAAAAGTGTATTTGAATAGCTTGACTTATGTATAAAGAGACTGTCTGCAGCAAATTCTGTTTTGTTACAGTTTCCAGTAACTCTGTATTGACAAAAACTATTGTTAAATGTAAAAGTGAGGGAAATGAAAACATGAAAGGCAAACAGTGAAAATGTGATATAAATAATTATATGGGTAATGTTTACATTTTTTATCATCCGTGTCTTTTGTTGAAGAGATATTAACTTCAACTTGTGTTAGAACCTAGATGTACTTTGGTATTATACCATTTTGCACCATCAGATGGTGTAATGAGTCACCTTTATTTAAGTGGCCAAATCATTGAGCGTATATTCTCATTCTCTGGCCCCCTGGAAAAAGCAAGCGCCTCTTGAGGAATTGTGGTTAGCTGGGAAAAATATCAAAAATGTCAGCGGTGCTGACATTTTTAAAATACTGCCTGGTGTAAATACAAAAAAAATCGGAATACTTTGTCAGTCCTAGAGGAAATGATTTGGTCACAGGTGCTCCAAGACCGTAAAGCAGCCTTTGGTACATGGTTTAAAGCCGTGCCAACTATGTTCTAAGTAAACAATTAGAGACTTGTTTTAGTAAGTTTTTATTTTTAGTCTGACAGCTTTTGTCAACATCAGAGCCAGGAGGCATCAATGAAGTGTGAACTGCTCAGGAGTTACAGAATGCTGTATTTGTGTTTCTGTTGTGTATGCCCTAACCCTTTTACATACAGTATAGCTGGCTACATTGAAATAAATAGTACAAAAGGGAGTCTATACATGGCCACCCGTTCAACCATCATTGGAGAGCAAGTCATGTACACACCATTAATGTACATTACAGTACTGTGTCAGTGCAGCACTGTTTTGTGTCTTTGTGTAGGTTTCTCACACTAAAATAGTTTTGGTTTCAGTTAATACAGAGGACCTAAAATAGAATCCATTATTTGGATTTTATGGCCACCAGGAAATTAAATTGAGACTGTGATGTTTTGCTCAAAATGTGTCTCGCCCTGCAGCACCAGAGTTGACACCACACTGTCACAGTAGTGCCCCTCGAGACAGTGTGTATGTGTGTCTTGGCTTTGTTAACGACTCATCCTGGCCCGGTACATGTCGTCACCTCAGAGGAACGCCTTTGGGGTTGTCTGTTTACCGCTTATCACAGCCTGTCAGCCACACACACTCATATGCACACACTAAAAACAGTCCCCTGTTGCAACTTTTCCCCCTTTCATCTCTATGTGATTATAGCCTTTTCCACTGAGCTAATTTACCATGTCTGCTTCACTCCCCTGGCATAGATGCTGCAAACACTGACTGCTGGCAGCTGTGACTTTAGTGTTTGTGTGCGTGTCATGGAGATGATCTGCTGTTCCTGTATTCTTTCCTCTTCTGCCACCATTAATAATAATAATATGACAATTTTTCCTCTTAGATGTGCGATTGCTGCTCAACAATGACAATCTGCTCAGGGAAGGTGCAGCGCAGTAAGTCTTCCCTTGTGCTATTTCCACAATTAAAAAATTTCAGATGTTAGACGGAAAATACAGATTTGCATTGCAACAACTGAAGATGAAAGAGGAATACAACTTGAGATTCACAGACCAGACTAGTTTTAGTTGCTTAGGTTTTTACACCTGACCATTTCTCCCCTGTCCAACACGTTAACAGCAAGAAGAAACCATTCAGTTTACATCTAAGAGTTCTAGACCTGGACATGCTGAATAGTTACAAGTTAATCAACATATATTAAGATTGAAAAGTTTTAATAACCAGCAAGGCGGGACTCCTGTGTTTGCGATCTAACTAACTTGGTATCTCTCTCCGTAGTGCATTTGCACAGTACAACTTGGACCAGTTTACCCCCGTGAAAATCGAGGGCTACGAAGAACAGGTGAGCTCATGCTTTGCTTTTTGACCCTGAGGTTATGGTAGCAATACAGAAGCTAAAGAACAGGACTTTTATTACTTTTGGCATTAGTCACTTTTTAGCTCCAACGCACAGTTAGATACTGCTATAGTTGATGCACATCAGAAGAATGAGTGACTCAGTTCATAAACTTTTTCCATGTGGACCAGGCAGTCACAAGTGTGACGTTCCTGTAATGTAAAAGCACAGTTTTATAGAGATCTGTTTCTTTAGCTCATCCAGCCAAGACTATCATCAGAAATAAAAAAGTGACACTTTTCTTGGACTTCAGGGTTAGAAGAGAGATGGTAGCCTCCAAATATATTATGGTTTAAGTGATGCAAAACATAGTATAATTGTATCATTGGCATTAAAAGAGACAAATAAAATTGGATGAAAGATCAAACAAGTCTGAATCTTCTCCTTTAGTTCCTGCAAAACAGGATCACATAGCCACTTTTATTTAAATGTCACTGTTTGCTTGCTGTGCATTTGTGTGAAGGTTGAACACTGCTGAATGAATGTGGCTGTGTTGGCTTTAGTAATGATTGCACTGTCTTATGTAAAGATGTCATCATGTCCCTCTGTTCCCATATGCTGGGCTGAAATTCCCCTGTCTGGTGCCCAGCTAACTGAGCTAAGTGTTGAGGTGAAAGGCAGAAGATGGAAAGTTCAGGCTGATGCCTGTGGTTCCTATTGTTCTCCGTCCTCCTCTTTTCATCCTTTTGTTTCCTCTTCATCTCTCCTGTCTCCTTAGATAATTTACCACAGCTCTACTTCTTTATTGTGCTGTTCTCTTTCCATACATGTTCTTGTCGGATTATTTATTAATTTTTCTTTCTTACATGTTTTACTTATTTTTCCAGTGCTCTTTCATTTTCTATTTCTTGGCCTTCCCACAGCTCTCTTTCTCATTCCTTTACCCCCCCGCTTTATATTTCAGGTCTTAATCACAGAGCATGGTGATCTTGGGAATGGCAGGGTCTTGGACCCCAAGAATAAGATCTCCTTCAAGTTTGACCACCTGAGGAAGGAGGCCAGTGACCCACGGCCCCATGATGTTGACAGCTCCCTGGAAGGCTGGAGGAGTGCCTTGGACTCTGCTGTCAGGGCCTATGTCAAGGAGCACTATCCGAGCGGTGTCTGCACCGTATGTTCAAGCCCACTCTGTTACCAGAATAACTGAACTGCTCACCTCAGAAAGTTCATTTTTTCATTGTGTGTTTAAAGCTATTAGTTTATGAAAACATCAAGCAAGAGGGAGTTCTCCCACAGGATCTGACTCTGGAGTTCAAAACACACGTTACAACTATTACACATTGCTCTAAACTTAACAGCAGAGGCTTGTGTGTAATATAGATGACTGATAATTGGGACTGAAGCTCACTGTTCTCTGGTGTTTTCCTACAGGCTTATAAAAACAGATACATTTAAAAGTCACACACAATTCAACAGAACTGCTCAGAATACAAACATAAACCAGAGCTTTTAGGACCAAAATCTCTTGTCTTTGCATAGTGATCCTCTTCATTCGGAGATCTGTTTTCTATTAAATTAGAACTTTAGTGGCCTTCATTTTGTTTCCACTTGCATTTCAAGATTAATATTTTGTTTTATACATTCGTTTAACCCTTGGGGATTGGAACAGGAAGGGTATCTATTTATTTTTATTTTTTAATCCCTTGCAACAAATTAGCAGCTAAAAGTAGCCTATGTTATTAGTGATCAAATACAACATGTACAGTCAAATTTAATCAGTTTCAAGCAGGAAGCAGTAGCAGGCCAGTATTTAGATAAGCCTGTCTTTTACTTTGCAAAACAGCTGTTGTCCTACTTATTAAATGTGTTGTGTATATATGACATCCTCTAAGTACCATGACAGGGGCAGGTATATAATTTAAGTTTTGACTATAAAACCACCGTGTGGTGTCAATTCTGCACACGTTGAGCAGTGAAAGTGGCCTTGAGTTGCATGTGAAATCTGAAAGTGTCTTTTTTTGTCTTTTGACTTCAGATTTATGCGAAAACCATTGATGGACATCAAACTATCATCGTGTGCATTGAGTGCCATCAGTTTCAACCAAAAAACTTCTGGTATGTGTAAAACAGTCAAAACATTAGTGTGATATTTTCCCTCCCTTATATTTTCTGATATTTCTTGTGTCTCCTCCCTTTCTGCTTTCAGATGAATCTTTTTTTTCAATACTAGTATTTAGGCAGATGATTTTTAACCTTAACAACAACTACATGTTAAATACAATAAAACCATTGAAATCCTCAAATGTTTCTTGAAGTGTTTAAGGACATTGCAGTAATTGGCACATAACTCTGGACTGTTAGACTCTGTTGATTTTGATCAGGTTAATCTAATTGGATAAGAACTGCACCAATCCTCTTTGCTGCTGGGTCTTATTGGTCTTATAAGTGTTGGGTGTAGTAATCCCAAAACTACTGTACGTGACTGCTGTAATGGTTTGAAAGTGAAATAAATTGTATTTATTTATTTTTTGATTTGCAAATCACAGTGAAAAGGATCAAAACTTTCACATGGAGATTTTGTATCTAATGAAAAAGACATATTAGAACTTAATGATTCAAAAATTTGTCAAAATCTGTAAATATCATTTTTCACTCTTCTGTAATGCTTGCACCCCCACACTAAAATAGAAGTGCGTTTTATTGAAAAATTGGACACTGCGATTTTCACCCTGCAAAGGGTCACCCAGTTGGCCGAATTGGATGGGAGGTCTGTTCTGACCTCAAGACCGCATATTTGATCAGAGCACTTTGTAATAAGCCAGAACTTCAATGTAGTATGCAAATTTTAGTCAAATTAAGAAAATTGGCAGTAGAGTGTCCAAACTAATTTCCATGTCTGTTCACTACATATTAGGAGATGGTTCACTGACGTAAATAGCTGTTGGTCCATCATTAGTAATGCTTTTACTGACATAACACAGAGCAACTCTGTGAACAAGATGTAACACGTTACATCTTTATGGATCTTAACAAAACTCTTCTATGTCATCTTAACTCAAGAAACTCTTACATTGCTTTAAATGAAGGCGCACATTAACTGGTTTTTAAATGTGATGCTATACTTCATACTGTGAATACCTTTCTTACTATCTGTATTGCCACTGTTGTTGACCAAAAACACAAAGTCATATACCTTTTCTGTTTATTTTTCAGTATAGGCGATGACAGTTGAGCCAATGTACTGGACAGTTAGCTGAGTCAAGTAAAAGTGACTGAAGTGTGTTTATCTTTCCTTCTCGTTGTTTAGGAATGGACGCTGGAGGTCAGAATGGAAATTTACCATCTCCCCCTCCACCACCCAAGTGGCAGGAATCATGAAAATCCAGGTATGTTATCTGAACAACAATCTTTGACGTAAAACGGACACACTGTGTTGTGTTATGCATGTCAGCACGCATACTCAAACTCACGTTTACTGACAACATTTGCATGTAGACTTTAATCAAATTCAGTTTCTTTTTTCTTCCTTTGTCATCTTTCTTTCTTTTTTCTCTTTTTTTTTTACCGTGTTTTGTTTATTTATCACAAAGTTCAGTTAATTTCTGTTGCACCCTTGTCTACTTTTTCCCATAAGCTCAGTACTAAAATTTTGTGTTCTTGGTTTTTGTTGTCGTTTCCTTCACTCCCCCCCCCCCTTTTTTTTGGGGGGGGGGGGGGGGAGTGGTTTGTTAGACCTCTTGAGATTTGTTTGTTGGCACACAGCTCTTTGATTTTTTTTTTTTTTACAGCTCCAATCATTTCATGGCACAGAAGAAATTTTGGTTAGAAATACACTATATATTTCCATATGTATTTCTAGGTTCATTACTATGAGGATGGAAATGTCCAGCTGGTGAGCCACAAAGAGGTTCAGGAGTCCATGTCAATTTCTGTGAGTATTTCTGTGAAGTCCAAGCAGAAGCTGCAACGATCATTCCCCATACTTTTACATTTGTATGTATTTAGGGTGATTACTTGTAATTTTATGTTAGTAATTAAGTTTTGACCTGGTACCAGCTACCAGGGGAGGTTTTCTGCTCTGTAGTTGCAGTGTAGGTTTTAAAGTTTCTTTTTTGTTGGATGCCTTGTCCTCTCCCCTCTTCAAAAGAATGTCATGTTTTCAGAATGAGGCTGCAACTGCAAAGGAGTTTGTTAAGATCATGGAGGCTGCAGAGAATGACTATCAGGTATGTCAGGAGATTTCGTTGAACTTGAACTTTCACCTTAGATCAGAAGTCCTCACAAATGATGGAAACATTTTACAGTTATGACTCCAGCACTTACTGCCACACTAAAATCTTTTGTTGTTTGGCTTTAGTTTTGTGTGATAATCTGTTACTTTTAGTTGTGAGGAGTTTGTGTTACTCAAGTCAGGAGATAATGAAAACATTTTACACGTTCGCAAACTCGCAGCACAGGAAGTCAAGTTTTAGAGTGACAATGAATAGAAAGCTGAGTCACTTGGATGAAGCTGGACATTTTTTAGAGAAAGCTGGACTTTCACAACAAGGCCTGGAGAAAACTCTGACATACCCTAATGTGGTTATAAAACTCCATTTTCCTACACCACACAGACTTCTTCAGACCTGGGGAAAATTTAGATTTATTTGAGTATTATTATTATTTTTTAAATCCAGTCCCCTCTCTGTCTTCATCCTTATTTCATTCCTTGTAGACGGCCATCAACGAGAATTACCAGACCATGTCGGACACTACCTTCAAAGCCTTACGCCGCCAGCTTCCTGTGACACGTACCAAGATCGACTGGAACAAGATCTTGAGCTACAAGATCGGCAAAGAGATGCAGAATGCTTAAAAACCGCAAAGATAACAGTCAGATCCCCACTCCCCGCCCCCAGCCCCTCCATCCCCATCCAAAAAAATGTTGCATGACTGGATAGTTGTATCGTCTTTGTACAAACAATTAGAGAAAACGGGGGCAAAGAAAGGTTTGGTCTCACAGACGTCACATGACACATTGGATGACTGTTTTGATTTTATACAGACACTCTCCTGTATACTGAATTTGTGTTCGTATTTGGGAAAATCTATCTTGAGGAAACTTTGCGAGTCATAGGACACAGGGTGGACACTTGTTTGCATAAACACCCTTATGAAATAAAATATCATGTGTGCAGTAAGTATTGCATCAGTGAGACCACACCTTTTTGTTTGGAAAATCTGTTAGAATTTGCAATAATGGTGAAAACAAATTCATTTCTGGGAGAATTTTTGTCTGCATTTACAGAGGAAGTCAGTTACTATGGCTGAAACGAACAACTCCCCACCCCACACCCCTCGTGCCCCCACCACCACCCAAAAAAAAGAAGTTTTGTGTTCATTGACTGATATATTTGGCACAAGCAGCCACCACTGTCAGCCACTCAATGTTCTTGTTCTCTCATTCTGGTACTTCCCCCTCACCCTTTGTCCTGTGTGTGCGCTCTCCAGCTTGCAGCACTCCTGGCTACCTTTTGACTTGATATCGTCTGAACTCTCACTCAGTGCAGGGAGTTCTGTGACCACTTAACAAGCTTAATTAACAAGTCATCAGTCGCAAAAGTAATTTGCATAATGTCCAATTTACAATAAAATTTAAAAAAAAGTATCACTTTCTCCTCCAGTGCTTATTTTTATTAAAAACAGAACCTGACTGTATTATATAACAAGGCACATTGTAATATATACCTGTATGAAACATCCTGTCTGTCAGTTTGGTGATTTGTTTCCATGAGATTAATTGTAATTCAGTCACAATTATGTTGCATTAAATGACAAATTTTCTATTTACTGACTCAGTCATAATTTCTGATGCTATTTATTGTGACATAAATGGGGAAGAAAATTATAATATTGGGGTAAAACAGATAAACAACCACACATGTGCATCACTGATTTAACTTAAGGACAGATTTTTAATATGCAATTAATTGTTTTTTTTTTCCATATTCCATCAGTCTGCTGCCATTAAAGATTAAAATCTTTACATCACAAGTGATCTACAAAAGAAAACTGAATTGGTACTTGGTGCCCAATTTTTGTTTTACATTTCATTTGAAGATTTGGGACCCACTCCAAGGAAATTTTGAACTTTAGACATTTAATTTATGGCAGTTTTTTATACCTTTTCTGCATCCATTTATGATGGAAATGTTTTTATCCATATACAGAAAAACAAAAATTGGGCACCAAGTACCAATTCAGTTTTCTTTTGTAGATCACTTGTGATGTAAAGATTTTAATCTTTAATGGCAGCAGACTGATGGAATATGGAAAAAAAACCCAAAAAACCAGACTTACTGATTAATTGCATATTAAAAATCTGTCCTTAAGTTAAATCAGTGATGCACATGTGTGGTTGTTTTTACCCCAATATTAAAATTTTGCCTTTTTATTATTTTAGACAAAACAGGGATAATAAAGAAAAAAAATGTTGCACCGAAATTTGGCAGCAGGCAGAGATCCCAATATGGCTGTGGGGAATAACAGCTGCATGTGCAGTATGAGGAATTTTTCCAATTAGATTTGACGGCTGACAGACTGCTGATTTTATTCCTAAGGCAGGGTGGTTGATAAGTGTATAACAGGTTAAAACTACAAACAAGGTGTCATGAAGCAAAGTGTTATGATACATAATAGTTTTATATTTGTTTTTTACACTGGGAAAATAAATGACAAATTGTTATGACTATAAAAATCACAGGAATGATTCATATTGAGCTTAAATCTTTCCAAAAAAGTGTTTGCTGGCTATATTTATTTAAAAACTCGAAATCGCCAACATACAGGATTTATTCAACGGTGTTTTCTGCAGCTCGCTGTAGGTGAATCAGCGACACCTTGAGGCCGCTGGGGCTAACTGTCCAGGTTAGCGAGCCGGTGGCTAACTGGTAACTGTTAGCTTTAAGGTTAGCCTTCCAGCCCCGTTTGCAGACACGTCCACACATACACAGTGTCTGCTGCTGGATACTCAGACACATGCTGGACTGCTGGCAGGAGAAATGCTAGCTACGAAGAGGTCTTTCACCAGTTTCTTTACATACGCAAATTGAGGTAAGATGTCTCACATGATCCCTGTCAACGCTGTCATCCACAACGCTTCCACTTCTCTCTTTTTTTTTTCTTTCTAAAGTTTTTGCCAACGTTAGCCAGCAGCTCTTGTTAGCAGTTAGCTAGCAGGTTGAGTTAGTGGCTACGACTCACTGAGCCCAGTTTAAATGGAAGCGCTCACACGCGTGACTGATGTTTAATGCACAGGGGAGAGTGAACAGGATGCTCCCGAGCTGCCGTGGAATGAGTTTGTCCTGGCAAGCGGCATAAGGCGGGGAGCAGTGTATTGCTTTTAATGGTCTCCATCATGAGTCAGTGTTAACGGTGATTCCAGAGTTCAGAGCGACCGTTTGCCAAGTTTCCTCTTCCTTTAACTTCAGGAGTCGCCTCTGTCAGGGATGCTCTTGAAGCGAACTTTGTGTTGCTTTTTGTTTTGTTTGTTTGTTTGTTTTTAAGAAATGTTAAGCTTAGTCTTGCGGACCTGAGGTGTTCACCTCTGCTGGGCACTCGCAGCGAGCTCAGGGTTGTAGTTGGCATGTTGTGTCTCCGTGCCTTCACAGCAGCCGGTGGATTCGTCTCCTGTGACTGAGAGCTGAGCAGCAGATGGAAGAATGTGCTCTTTCAGAAAGCCAGCTGGCCCCGGCTAGAGAGGGCAAGAGAGCCTTTAGGCACAAATAAGCTGGTTGAAGAATTCGTGCGTGTGTTCGTATATAAACTGAATAGTCATGACAAAAAGCATGGGCGTAAAAGGTTAGTTTGACAGGTTCAATACGGCATGCCGGCAGCTGGCTCTCACCTTCCCACTGCTTTTCGTTGTATAATAAAGGGTTATTATTCTATTCTGTTCTTGCAATGAAAGGTGTTAATGCTGCTGCTGAATTGGCTGCCTGACAAACCGTAATCCTCCCTGAGAAGTCTGGAAAGGCATCAAAGATTATTCTCTTAAGTAGGGATGTAGCAGTCCTTAAACCTAGACCGAAATCACGATAGAAACATCCACAGCATCTTTCGGCAATTCCATCTTCCTTTTACCATGATGACTGTCTGAGCTAGTAATTCCAGCGCTCTGTACTCTAAAGCAGGATATGGGGTATGAGAAACTTGAGTAAATACAAGATCCATTTTTAAATTGTGATTTTATTTATTAATGGAAGAAAGTCAGCTGGCCTCTCCCTTAGAGATAGGGTGAGAAGTTTGGCCATCCAGGAGGGGCTCAGAGTAGAGCTGCTGCTCCTTCACATCGAAAAGAGCCAGTTGAGGTGGTTCAGGCATCTGACAAGGATGCCTCCTGGGTGAGGTGTTCTGGGCATGTCCCACTGGGAAGAGGCCCCGGGGCAGACCCAGGACACGCTGGAGAGATTATATCTCTCAGCTGGCCTGGGAATGCCTTGGTGTTCCCATGGACAAGCTGGAGGAGGTGGCTGGAGAGAGGGAGGTCTGGGCTTCTCTGCTTGGGCTGCTGCCCCCGCAACCGGGCCCCGGATAAGCAGCAGCAGAAGAAGAAGATGGATGGATGGATAGAAGTTAGCCAAACCTCCCTGGCCCTATGTGGAGAAAGTAACTGGGTCCTTATAATTAACCATAACCCATTCTGATCTACTTGAGGACTGAAGGCATTTCATACAACTTGCCTTCACCTGTTCACACACATTTATACAAAGTGTTTTGTGTCTTGCTTTGACACACATCCACACAGGGGCGCCTCCAGAATTTTTTCATAGTGGTGGCCATATGTGGGGCACTAAAAAATATTGGGGTGGCACACCAAAAACAGAATTTCCAGTTTTATTATGCTGCTGTCAAATACAGGTTAGCTGAAAAATATGGCAAGAATTATAGAAAAGAATTATATGCATAGTTCATTTCCTGCTGTTAAAGTTAACATCATTGAAAATTGGTACATAAGAAAACCGAATCATAAGCAAATTTTGGTAGGGGGAGCAATTTTTATTTATTGATTAATTTTTTTTGGCAGAGGGTGGCCAGTAACACCCCCCCCCCCCCCCCCCCCCCCCCCCTCCACCCCCGGCAAGATCAACAAGATGTATTTTTGGTACATGTGAAGCCTTTGTGTTCTTTTATGGTCAGGAGTGGGGGGGGTTTTCCACCTTGGATCTCTCCTATTGATCCCATTTTTGTCCACTCTTTTTTTATTTTTTTATTGTTAAATTATGAAAAGCAACCTTAAATGAGGCCTGCAGTTCTTTAGATGTTTTTTTTTGGGGGGGGGAAATCTTTTGTGACCTCCTGTATGAGTCACTGATGTGGTGTCTATAGACGGGAAATTGAATCAACTTTTCTGGAAGATCATTCGTATCTCAATGTCTGGATAGTATTGGTGTCGAACGTTTGTTAACCCTAGAACACTAACCTATGGTTTTGTAACAGTATCGCTAATGATGGGTGTATTTTACCTTATGATAAAACATACTTCCCATCAAGAAAGTGCAACAACACATGACAGATTGTATAGCAGGAAATAAAAGAAAAATACTTCAATGTCTCATAAAATTAAAAAAAAGGTTTAAAATGAGTGAAAAATTAGGGAATCCTTAACAACAACAAAAATCCTAAAATATTATTAATAATAATTATGATTAAAAAGCAACTGTATTTCGGTTATTTTTTAAATTATCATTATTATTTTCTCAATTGGCTGCAAGTAATTTTAAAATTGTTTTAGTGTTCTAAAACCTTTTAATATATAATTCTCAAGCAGGACACCTAGTACTTGTACCTGTTGATCTTATACCGTAGTATTCGGACCATAAGGTGCACTGGATTATAAGGCGCACTGTCGATGAACAGGTCTGTTTTCATACATAAGGTGCACGGGATTACAAGGCGCATTAAGCAAAACAGTCAGATAAGTCAAACTTTACTCAACTCATTCTTCTTGCTTCCTCCACTTCTGTACCATTGATTCATTAATCTTGAATTCTCTGGCAGCTGCTCTATTCCCATGTTGTTGCAGCACATTAATGACTAACCTCTATTGTGGATGGATTATCTCAGTTGTTCTCCTGACTGAAGTTTGGTCCGTTTACAGCATCCTGCCATGTGATTGCATTTGTCCCTAACCGTTGGGAACCCTCACTTTAATTTTTATCAATTGGAAAAAAGTTAGCATTCATCCTTCAGCTTCACAGTGTTTATGTTATGCTAACATAGCTGTGTTGCTAGCGATCACGTAGCACATCATTATGCACCAGCTAGTAGAGCAGGGCGATATGGCCAAAAATATTTATCACGATATATATTTGAAAATTTACGATAACGATATAACTGACGATATAATTGATGCGAGACAAAATACAACTCCACAACATTACTCGTGCAAAAAGACAACCTTCCATTTATTTTCACTTAAACAAGAAGCTGTTTTTTATGTACATTAAAGCTTTATAAAAATGTAACAGTGCAAATGCAAATTCCTTGCTGAAAGTTTAACCAAAAGGCATTTCCAGTAGAAATGGGCTGACATATCCTGAGCATAACCATGTATAATATCCACTGAAGTTAAAAAGAGGTGCTTTGCAACATTAAACTGCAGTGTGCAGTACTTATTTTTTGGACCACAAGGTGCACGGGATTATAAGGCACATTAATCGAAACAAAGCAGTCAGATAAATCAAACTTTATTAAACTCATTCTTCTTGCTTCCTCCACTTCTGTACCTTTGATTCATTAATGTTGAATTCTCTGGCAGCTGCTCTATTCCCATGTTGTTGCAGTAT